CCCCCCCCTCCGCATTCCATCATCTTATTTCCGCAATCGAGATTGCAGAATGTCGTCAAGTACGCAAAATTACTACTACCTACGAAATGCTATCGATAAAATTTTTTCTCTCACTACGTTTTGGAAATCGTGTCTTCCGGACGAGACGAACATTGGAAAATTATCGCAAAAGAGAAAGAACACGAATTATCTATTCCCTTTCGCGATGAACCACCTCTTCCCTCTTTCATGGCCCTTTGTTCGCCAATTACGAAAGTAACCTAACGTCGTCATCTTCGTTGAACGTAAAAGACACGCGCCGAGAAGCCGCCGGGTAGCCAGGCTTTTTGACCATCTGGGACGAGAGAAGAAAAGATCGCTAAAGGATTCATCGTCAAAGCTACATTTAACGATCGCACTCGCCTCGCGATCGGAACTCGACGGACACGTCCCCGGTAAATTTTTCTTTCAAGAGCAATTCTCAAGAGGCAAAAAAGTAAGAGTCTAGCGGCTTTCTCTCGAATGAGAATCTCAAAATCAGGATCGATCGTTCGCGAAATTCAAGCTGGACAAATTCGACTCGACAAGAACTTCACGATTCTCGGATTCGCCTTTCGTTCGCGTAGAAAGGACGTCGCGCGGGGGCCGCCTCGAGTTCCGGCGATCGTGACCGCGGGTCGATTCATTGATCGTTCTTATTAAAGAAGTTTTTGCGTTACAGGGCGTTTTTTCCTCGGATTAAGTAGTATGTAAATACACCTTGATATCACAAGCATAAACTGAGAATTTACTGGTAAACTTAAACGAACGTACATAATGCGAAATAGGGTTAGTTTCTATGTAAATACCTAAAGCTGGGCGAGTGCATACACCTCGTTCACGCAACCAACGATAATCGTTTCTTATCGAACCAGAGCTTCTGTTCGTTGTCGGTGCGTGTCTGACGATCGACGACCGCTCCCGCCCCCAACCTCGTCCTCCGCCCTCTGCCAGAGGACGGATTTCACACCCCCACGGGGGAGGGATCGCGCGGGAGCGTGTCTCCGGTCTCTCGGACATGGCCGATCGGGAAATTCTTTTTTTTTTCTCGACACCGATACTCCGACACACTGATACACACTTACACACAGACACACTCATCACACCACACACGGCATTGCGATGGATTGTACAGCTACGATAGGAACACACGCAATACCTAAACGCAATCTTGGCACACTCGCACCAATCGGCGCCCGCAATACCGTATAGGGACCGACTGTTTTTTCCGCGGAATTTTTCTTACCAGATAAAAGAACGCGTTTTGTTTTCCGGAGAATAAAACGAAACAGAGGAAACTCGCTAGCATTGTGATATACGTCACGATGAATTAGCGTGGCGTGATTCGCTTCTATGCGAAAGGTGCGAACGTGCTGCACGAAATTGAGAGTGAGAGAGCTCTGAGCAAATCTGGGAGAGAATGAGGATGCGAAATTGATAGATTTAGCGAGCAGAGAAAGAGAGGGAGAGAGAGAGAGAGAGAGAGAAATGTCAGTCAATAACTGTGAGTCTGAGAATGAACGAGCGGAGCGAATGAGAAGAGCTTAGTTAGGCGAAGCTGTTAGCACGTGTCGCGCGAACGAAACGCGGATTAGAGAAAATTCACGTTGGTAGTCGCGAAACGATAGAGCAGTCGA